AGGCGATAAGATATGCTAAACAACTTATTAACGAGACTATCGAAGAACAGTTTGGGTCACTAAGGTCGTATGCAGCTGAGGTTTTGAACACTAATCTAGGATCCACAGTGATGATAGCACTTAGTGGGCAGGTTTTTCAACTGATCTTTTTTTTTTTCCCATCTCCAGGACTAGTACGAGGGACATTTAGAGCCAATCGATACAGCCAGGCACGCTTCGGAAGAGAGAAGAAGACATATGAGTACTTGTAATGACTAATGTTTATCATTTCATTTGCATGCGTGAGTGTGCGCGCGCTATGTTTTGTTGGGAATTCATGAAATGGTTCTTCACTATCGAGATGGAGTCATTTAACAGCCACACGTCAATGCCGTCGTTCACGTCTACAAACGGTGTAGACGGAATTAGCCCAGTGATGAGTACAGTTTTACTAAGTTCAGTGAGTGATTGGGTGCAACGTAAAGTTAAGTGAGTGAAATGCGACATTTTGTAAAATTCAGTAACCGTTGAAGAGACGTGTTTGGGGATGACATGGCTGGCTGATCACTGTCGAGTTGGAGTCATTTAACGGCCAAATGTCAACACCGTCGTCCACGTCTGCAATCGGTGTAGATGGAATTAGCCCAATGAGTGATGAAGTGCAGTTTTACTAAGTTCAGTGAGTGATGGTGTACAACGTAAAGTCCAGTGAGTGAAACGTGACATTTTGTAAAGTTCAGTGACCGTTGAAATAATTAACTCCCCCACACCCCCTCCCAGAGTAAAAAGTTTGATTAATCACCGAACTTTGCCCAACGTCGCGTTGTAGTCACTGAACTTTCGAATGCTGCTCAACAGTCACTGAACTTACAAACAAACCACTCCATCCATCACCCAATAGTCCGGCCGTTTAAACCCGTCCCACGTGGATTGACGGCGGTAGACGTGGCCGTCGATTGGGTCAATTCCAGCCACGGTGGACGCGTTTTTAACGTAAAAACACGACTCACGCAGATTCCCCATCCAAAAGCCAAGCCCCAATTCGAAATTGATTGCCCTAATTCCTCCCACGCTCTCCTCCAAAAGCCTCCCCCAAATCGATTCTTCCACACTTGTAGAATTTCATCTCCTTCACAGCAAC